GCCGCGCCCGCCGCCGCGCCCGCCCGGGCGGCCGCGGCCGTGCCCCTGCGGCCATCAGGGGAGCTGCCATTCTTTGAATACGAAGCCACGAGATCAGACCCCGAGGAGCAGTACAGGGCCGCCCCTTCCCCAAATGAGGCGCGGGCAATGACCAGCGCGGAGCTCAGGTCCGCTTTCCTTATTGACCGCCTCTTCGTCCCTGGGGAGGTCGTCATGACGTACACCCAGCACGACAGAATGGTCACCGGCGGCGCCGCGCCCGCCGGCGCCGCGCCGCTGCGGCTGCCCGGCTCCGCCGTCGGCGGCAACGCGGCGCCGTTCCTCGCGCGCCGCGAGCTCGCCGTCTTTAACATCGGCGGCCCCGGCCGCGCGGCCGTCGACGGCCGCGCCTTCGACCTCGGCACCCACGATGCCCTCTACGTGCCCGCCGGGACGAGCGACCTCTTCTTCTCAAACGCGGACCCGTCCAACCCCGCGAAGTTTTGGCTGGCGGGCGCCCCCTGCCACGTGCCATACAGCCCCGTCCTCGTGCGCAAGGCGGACGCGCAGCGGCTGGATTTCGCTGCGCAGGTGCAGTCGAACCGCACGCTGTACCGCTACATGACGGCAGACCGCGTGGAGAGCTGCCAGCTGACTATGGGGGCGACGTTCCTGGCGCCCGGCGCGGTGTGGAACCAGATGCCGGGCCACGTGCACCCCCGCAAGTCGGAGATGTACATGTGAGCGCGCGCGTGCCCGCTGGCTTCTGCAGTTTGTGGGGCTGTGCTTCTGCACATGGTGTGCTGTGGGGCTTGTGTGAGGTTACCCGTGTGTGCGTTTATGTTTGTGCGTGTGTGTTATTTTTGATGTGTGTTTGTATGTCTTTGGGTTGTTGCGGCCAAAGCAAGGCACTCTTAAGGCTGGGTCTAAACATTCACCCCCCCCCTTCCTCCCCCTGCCTACCACTGTGCAACCAGCACCTCCCGCTGCCTGACCTCCAAGGAAACACCCAATACACAATCCTGAATCCTGCGGCCCGCAACCCAAACCGTAACTTCCAATCAACAGGTACTTCAACATGGCGCCCGACGCCCGCGTGGTGCACATCATCGGCGAGCCGTCAGAGACGCGCCACCTCATCGTCTCAAACGAGCAGGGCGTGATCAACCCGCCCTGGGCCATCCACATCGGCGCCGGCGCGGGCGGGGAGCACGCGATTGCGTGGGCGATGGCAGGGGAGAACCAGGTGCAGGAGGACCGCTTCCGGGTCAGCCTGTACGATGTGGAGTGACGTGGGGTCTGTGTGTTGCACCTGGGGGCTTGCGCATGCGCCAACGAATGGCGCACACGCAAGCGCTTGGGGTGCTCGCATGGCCTAATCCAGGGCGCCGAAATGAGCAGGCCGGGCGACCGGCGACACCGGAAGGATCAGTGATTGGAGCTGTTCCTCAATGTTCACGTCATTGTTTTCCTGCATTTCTGTTGTGCTGCCCTCCCTGTGCTTATCGTTGTTGCAGACTGGAGGCTTTGACGCACCCTGCAGGGCAGCAGCAGCAGCGCCGCGCGTGCGCATCCCATACCGTATGCCCAAATTGCGGGCTACGCGCAAGCCCAGTAATCAGTGTCCATTATGCCCAGTGAAATCAGATCAGATGTGTGTACTAGGACTCACAGCAGCTGTGGCTCATTTGGGCACATGTGGTTTTGGACCCAACAGCCTTGTCAAGGGTGAAGTTGGCCTGCAGTGCTTTGCGATGGCCAGACATGCATCACAAAGCTGGATCTGGTGCACTTGTCTGATTTCTAAATGCATAACCATGCAGTAGCACGCTCTGGTGTCGCGCAGTGTGCAGAGGAAGAATTTGCTCGCTGCAGGTCAACCGGGTCAAACGTACCGTATGCCGAACGCAGCTCTGGAGAGTACCATCTGCACAGCGGCACAATGTCATGGTTTGCAGATTTGGGGGCATACTGTCGTAGCTTTCAAAGTCCCGGGGGCTGCCAAAATGGGAACCAGGTCGGTTTTCCTCACGCGCACCTCCGTCCGCCAATGACCCGCGGCTTCCCAGGCCCTTGGATTGAGAAGTATACAAGAGCTTGAATCTTTCGTGATCACAACCGTTACGTACGTGCTGGTTTGATCCGCAAACCGTCAGCGAGCGGCCTGTGTAAACCGAAAACTCCAGCGAGCACGATGGCAAGCCGCCATTCTATCGCCGTAGTATTGCTTGCGTTGCTTGCTGCGCACACCGTGGACGCTGCCGCGCGCCTCGTCCCCAGCGCTGCCGCCGCTGTCGCCGCGGAGTTGCCCGCCGCCACACCCGCCCCCGCCGCCGCGGCGGCCGCCGCCGCACCCGCGGCGCCCGCGATCGAGGTCCGCCACTCGGTGCACCCCGAGGCGCTCCCCAGCATGGGCAGCAAGGAGCTCCGCCGCCACTTCCTCGTGGACCGCCTCTTCGCGCCCGGGGAGGTCGCGCTGACATACACACACGAAGACCGCATGATCGTCGGCGGCGCCACGCCGCTGCCCGGCGCCCCCCTGGCGCTCCCCAGCGACCGCGCCATCGCCAAGTCCATCGGCCGCCCCACCTTCCTCGCGTCCCGCGAGCTCGCGGCGATCAACGTCGGCGGCCCCGGCCGCGTCGTCGCCGACGGCGCCGCATTCGACCTCGCGCCGCTCGACGCGCTGTACGTCCCGATGGGAACTTCCGCCGTGAAGTTTGAGAGCGCTGACAAGGACCGGCCCGCGAAGTTCTACCTGCTCTCCTGCCCGGCGCACAAGCAGCACGCGGCGGCGAAGATATCTCCGAGGAACGCGACCAAGGTCGTGACTGCCGGCGCGGGGGATACGGCCAACAACCGCACGCTGTATCACCTCGTGGTGCGTGCGTAAGCGGCAGGGTCACGGCACACACAGTTGTCGGGGGGAGGGGGCGCATTCCTCAGCTTGATGCAGGTTGCAGCCACTTGCAACCGACGGGGCCTGCGTGCGTGCGTGCGTGCGTGCGTGCGCTGCAGGGCGTGCGGAGCACATCTTGGTGGGCAACCCCTGAAAGCGTGCGTCTTGCAAGCAAGGGCCTCCCACCAAGTGTGGCATCCAAGACCATCTCCACAACAAACCAATCCTGCTGCCTCTCGCCCGCTCTCCGCCTCGCCAGGCCCCTGGCGGCATCGACTCAGACCAGATCACCTTCGGCGTCACCTTCCTCGCCGATGGTAGCGTCTGGAACACGATGCCGGCCCACCTGCACGACCGCCGCAGCGAGGTGAGGACGGGGGCGAGGCGAAAGCAGTTCACGCATGATGCTCCCACCTTGACCCCCTCTTGACCCCTCTCTTGAACCCCCTCTGATGCTTGGACGCCTGAACCATGATTACCCCACCCTCTTGCTGGCTGGCAGCAAGAGCTGCCCCCAGCACCCCAACGCCTGACACGCATACTCACTGCAAGCCACAACAACCTCTGATTTGAGACCACAGCTAAAAAATTCCGGAACCCCCTGCAAACTCAGATCTACATGTACTTCAACATGGCGCCCGACACCCGCGTGGTGCACCTGATGGGCGAGCCCGATGAGACCCGCCACATCTTGGTGGCGAACGAGCAGGCGGTGGTGTCCCCCTCCTGGTCCATCCACTCTGGCGCCGGCACCGCCGCGTACTCGTTTGGTGAGGCTGCACATGAACAGGATTTGAAACGGCTGCAAGCTCAAGGCGGATTGCTCAGTGGCAGCCCTGAAGATGGACTCAAGACATATTGGCTGTGCTTGGCCCACGCTCAGTTTCAGTGGTGCGCCTTGCAATAGCTGAGGTGGCACCAGCAAGCCGGGTGGCAGCGCCCCGCGCGCACAAGCGCCACCAGCGCCCTTGCCTGACGAATCATGCCCTGCCCCTCTTCTTGCCGATGCGTGCAGTGTGGGCGATGTGTGGCGAGAACCGTCTCATGCCCGACATTGAGCCCGTGGCAATGGCCACCCTGCAGTAGTGACGAGGCGGCAGGAGGTGCGGCTGCGCGCGACCAGCGGCGCGGCGGACCCAGGCGCGCCTGGGTTTGGCAGAGCCGCCCCTCCCCTGACCGGCTCTGGATGCAGCGTAAAGCTGTCCGCGTGCCGCGGGGGCGGGTCAGCAATGGCGACAGCAGGCAGGCGCCGCAGTATCCCCAGGACTGCAGCGCGAATGCTGGGCGTGCGAGCGGCCTGTGTGCGCTCGTGGCTTGCGTTCGATTGCCCGCCATTTGTTCATTGCCCGAGGAATGTGCATGTGCGCCACTGCACATCACCTACACCCACCAGTGCCCCCAAGCAACCGGATTTGGGTAGCTTGCAGTATATATTGCCCCCACCCGTTGCTGATGCAGCAGCATCCATTCCTCTCACCAGCTTTCACAGCAAAAACACAACACAACCAGGGGCCATCGGCCACGTTCTCAGCAGCACTGCCAATGCACCTGGCAAGTCTCCTTCTTGTCTTATTGTGTATTAACGCTGCATCTTCAGGCGCTGAGCACCCCATCATGAATACCCGACGATACTTGCCTTGCTGCACAGGGCGATCAACCAAGCACCAGGCGGCATGTAATGCACCCGCACCGCTCGGCCTCCATTCTTGCACCAAGAAGCTAGGAATTTTTGGATTCTGATCTAGCCGCAAACATCGGATATCAGCAAATTTGCATCACTTCCAACGAATGCAACCTCCACTGCCCAAAACAACCCTTGCAACCAGCTGGCAACAACCAACAGGCTTGACCTCACCCAATGATGTCAGCGACGATGAACGGAGCCTCCAAGCACGCCGTCTTACTTGATCATGGAGGTGGGCATGCGATGTTTTGCCCAGATCAGCTGCCGCCAGCTTGGCAAGGCAACAGTGGATCCGAGGCAACACTGCGACATCAGGCAATGGTCGCGAACAGGCAGGCGGCTGCAAACCCCACAGCTTCAAGTTATTCAAGCCCTTGCACACAAGCTCTCAAACGTGAGCCAAAACGATTTCACGCGGCGCTTTGTGGCTACGTGAAGTCTTACGGACGCTGGGGTCCGTACCTCGCAGGAGACAGGGGATGATCGCTCAAGGCGACAATAAGATTTTGTTAAACGTATGCTAGTTGTCTGACACATCCTCTTTAGGCCTCATCGCAAAGTCACCGCGACTTTTGCGTTCAGCTAGCCGATCCTGGCCGAGGCAGTGCCCAAATGTGGCGCACGCCTCTATCTACCCGGCCGCTGGCCGCCCTAGCCCTCCTGGCCATTGGGGTGGCTGCAGGTAGGTTGATCGTGTCTATACATGGCGCACGGGGTGCGAGGATCGCAGCAGTGGCGCAGCCAACAGCATGCTGCCGTTTATGCGGTCCGGTGCGTGTGTGCGCCTACGTTCCCTAGCAAACCCCAGCCCCTCATCCACCCTTCATCATCCTCAACACAGTCGCTGGAGCTTCCACAAGCATGGGGACGTGGGTAAGCGCAGCCCAGCACAAGCCTGCAGCCGTCCTCCTGCCGTGCGCCATCCAAGTCTCGGTGGCGCATCCTTCCGCTTGCCTCGGAACCTTCCTGCTCAGCACATAGGGAGGAGAGGATTGTTTCCTCCTTGTCCTCCAAAAATCTCCGCTGTAGACCGTTAGGACCCTGTGACAGCAGCGCTACCAAGCAGTCTTGGCCAATCTGTTGTGGTTTCACCTTGCTTTTCCCGCAGATGCCCATATACATCCACCCGTATGATAGCAACTACGATGCCCTGATCGCATCCCTGGGCACCAATACGTGCGCAGACGCGTGGCAGGCGACTGTGCTCACAGGTGTGATGGGGGCTCGGAGGGCAGCTGCCCTGAACCCCTAGTTGAGCATCGTGCCGCCAACCCGCGCCCATCAAACACAGACTGTCGCCACTGCAAGCGCGGCTCCCTACAAACGGCGTCACAACACACTTGGCTGCACTGGACTTCCAAACAGCTTGATCTTTTGTTGCTCCGCCGGCTTGCTCAAGCCGCATGCCTGTCAGCAATTAGGATACGCACGCGCCGCAGCCCATCCTGATCACCGCCATCCCGAAGCGGCGGCGCGCCGCCCGGCCGATCACCTGCGTGCGGCTTTCAAACTCTCGCCAACGGGGGCACCTTGCCAAACGCACCCCCGTTCTTCTGGCGCGCAGGGCCGCGCTCCGGCCCCCCAAACGCGACCGACCCCGTCGAAGACAAGCTCTTCCGCGACCGCTTTGCCGCCGTTGCTGCGACCGGCAAGACGAAGCTCTTTGGCTACGTCTACACCTCGTGAGCAGGGGATGGCTAGGGCGTGGGTTGACGCTTTGCCTGCCAGGGCCTGGCCCTTGCCACAGGGTTGATGCTTTGCCTGTGGCCACGCACCCGCGTTGCCCTACAGACTAAACAAGGGGGAAACCGCACCCCCAGGAGCCTCTGCAATAGAAACGATCACGATTGCACATCCGCCCCGGGGGGGCCACCGCCCACGAGCCGGCTGCAAGTGCACAACGCACCTTGCCCCCGCCGCCGCCCTACACGCGCGGCTGCCGCGCAGCTACGGCGGCCGGGCCCTGGCCAGCGTGCTGGCTGACGTTGACATGTGGTTGAGGCCCGGCACAATGGGATACGGCGACCAGTTTGCCGGCGTTTGGGTGGACGGCGTCCCAAGCAACCCAGACGCGACGGTGCGCTTCTGTACAGCTGTTGTGGCCGCTCGACTGCCGTGCAGACGACGCGACCCAGTCATCAAAGAACCGTCTGCGACCTTAAGATCAGCCCCTCTCTCCCCCACCCCAAACCAATGTACTGTGATCTGAGCCTACCCCTTATACTGAATGCCAGCTGCACGCGCATGCACAGTTCACGCCCCCCTTGCGCACTCACAACACCCCCTCCCCACCCGCCGACGCAGCCCTCGGCCTTGCCCCTGCACAAATACTGTAATGATTGCCCCCTTCCCGCTTCGTTGCCGCCACCCTCATCAAAATTGACAGGCCAAGACATACTACAAGTCTGTGGCCGACAAGATAAAGGGCTACGCAGGCAAGCTGGTGGCGTTCAACCCCGGCTTCAACGTGACAGACTGCGCCTGGTTCAACTCCATCGGCGTCGGTGCGGTTTTGTGGGGGTGTGCATGCGCCCTCCCCGGGGCGGAGCACTGCAGGACGGGCGCTGCGGCACGATGCGTTTGAGGCCAGCTGTGCGCGCGCAATACGAGCATGGCCGCGAGAGGCAATCTGGGCGCATGCATGAGCGAGCACAAGGGCGCGCACGGGCGCAGCTGCAGCGCCGGCCCCAGCGCCAAGGCCCATCCATCTCACCCGCCCGCCCTCGTCCTGACATCCACCCTTGCAACGCTAACCTGCATACCGGCTGGGCGGCGTTCGTCTGTCGATCAGACGTCCTCAACAACTTTGAAAACTCGTACAGCATCTGGCAGCTGCCGCCCCCGACCGGCTACACTGCGAACTGCCCGTGCGCCGGCCTGGCTGTGCGCTGTGTGGCGTCCATCCACGGGTAGGGGGAGCCTGAGTGGGGGCGCGAGGGCAGACGCCACGCTCCTGTCGGAGGCCCAGCTTTGCATGGAATTGTCGCCTCCAACAGGCCCAGCTTTGCAATTCTCTCTCGCCTTGCACCTCAAATCTGGCTCCTACAGGGCTCGATCCCCCCCCCCCAGCCCCACTACGGCCCCCAGCCCCAGTCTCATCAAGAATGGGCCCGATTGTAACCCACATTCGATCGACACGCCCCCATTTATAGCCCTGTTTTCCACGCAGCAACCCTCCGACACGCACGTATGCGAACCCTGCCCCCTGCTCCATCCCCATGTGTGTGCACAGGTACCCCTCAAACGCAACCGCCGCCAGCATCCAGGCCACCGTACAGACGATGTACGACCGCAATTACCGCGGCCTCTTCATAACTGACAAGACGCTGTGAGTGGTGCTGAAGACGTGTGCAGAGGAGCATGCAAGGAATCCCAGGGGGTTTGCGTGCTTGCTTCCAGCTCAACCCCATAGCCGCCGTCACGACGGGGCGCGCGCGTCCACGCGGCTCCTAATGCAGCCCTTGACGTCAACCGCAGCATCAGCGTTTGAAGAGGGTGTGCCCCAATGCGGCTCGGCCACAGTCACGGCTCCTTTGATGGGCCCTGGCGTCCACAAACACCGACGCAGCGCGTCCCTCGCAAACCTGCGTCGCCCCGAAGGCCGGCGCCTTACTCATCCATGCCCACCATCTGGCCGTCCGTCCTCGACGCCGAGTGCGCTGTCATCGCCCCCTCGCCGGCCCCAGCCCCGGCCCCGGCTCCCGCTCCTGCCCCTGCGCCGGCCCCAGCCCCTGCGCCCGTGCCGCCGCCGGCGGTGGTCCTGCCGACTGGTCCCTGGAAGCCGACGAGGGACCTGCGCTACCAGTATCAGATGACGTCATTCGACGCTGACCGCGACTACATTTCAGGCGTCCAGGTGCGCGGCCGCTGCGGGCACGGGCCGCCCTGTGCCGCTGGGTCATCCCCTTGGCGCCGGGCGCGAGTCGGGAATACCCCAGCTGGGCTCACCAAAAGATCCCGGAGTGCTCTGAAGCAGCCTGCACGCGGGTTGACTGTAGGCGGCTCAGAAACCGCGTGTGCTGTTTTTCAAGGCGTTCGCCCATGCGCTCCTCTCTCCGCCTGCGTGCTGATGTCAGCGCCCCCTGCGGGCACACTGTGGCACCCTAGCAATAGCGCGAATAGAACAGCCCACCCCGCGCCGCCGCCGCAGCCGCAGGTGTATGTGCTGCCCCTTTTCACGGTGAGCAATACAACCATCAACACCCTCCGGTACAAGGGCACCACCCTGAAGCCGGTCTACGCCATCTGCTATTTCAATGCGGGTAAGACTGGGGCCGCCTGGGGCTGAATGTGATTGGCGCAGTGCGTTGCAGCTATTGCGCAAACCCCACACGTCAACACACAGATGTCTGCTTGTATGCACGCGAATCGCATGCTTTACACAGGTCCTGAGAGCCTCATCATGCAGACACTCATTGCGTCAGGGTTTTGGGATTGCGCACGCCCACACACGCACGCGCACACCACAAAAACACACCACAAACGTACCGCCTGCGCCACGCATACACATCCCTGAACGCTCTCGCTACAATCCAGACACCCTTTCTGGCACTGAGCCCGACGCTAGCCAATTTTTGGCGTCGGACAAGAGCGGGTCAAGCCTCATCACGACCTCATCAAACGTGCGGTACCTGATGCAGAAGGTGAGGCGCAGCAACATGGTGCTGTTGGGGCTGGAAGGTGCCGTCTGAAGGTTCAAGCGATCTGCGTGCGTGCGTGCGTGTGTGTGTGTGTGTGTGTGTGTGTGTGTGTGTGTGTGTGTGTGTGTGTGTGTGTGTGTGTGTGTGTGTGTGTGTGCGCGCGCGCGGGCGCGCGCGTGTGCGCGCCCCCACTACATCTGGGGTGCCGTGATTGATCAATTGGTATGAGCATTTAGTGGAAGACAGGGGTTGCTGCTTGCCTTGTCGATGTTCTTGGGAAGCAAGCAGGTGGTAAATTCAAAGCACGCATCTTTAGCCCCAACCCTTTCCTGCACTGCAGACCACCTTGCCCCGTCTTCTGGCCAATGCTTTCTGACCACCGACCACCTCTGCCCACCACCTCGGCTGGGGACCAAAACCCCCGCAGCGCATCCAGCTGTGCAAGGACAAGGGCTTTTCCGGGATGGAGCCCTACGTAACTCCTTCCAGGTGGGCGTCGCAATCACCCCGCGAGGCTGCAAGAGTGCATAGGCCGCTGCGGGGGCTGGCCGGGCGTCTGTTTCTGTGCGCTCGCACCACGCACACCAGACTCGTCATTTGGGACCTTTCTTTCGTATCACGCTTCCTGAGACATGGGTTTGGCGTGATTGGCATCATACCTCAACCCCATCGCAGCACGGCCAATGCATACTATCAGTGGCTTTCCACCACGGCGCGCGGCATGGGGCTGGCTGTCGGGCTGTCCAACAACATCGGCGTGGTGGGTCGCAATGTCTTCACTGCAGAGAGCTGCCAGGGATCAAGCCAACTGGGCGCAGTCTCATAGGGTTTGTCTGCGCCACGCTGATTGCAATGCGTAGATAGGCTTGTGTCGACTTGCTGCCTGGGTGGCAGTGCTTTGCCGTCTGACGCCTTGAAATAGCGCTGCTTGCGTTGTTGCTCCCCCTGCCAACAGATCAGCGCCCTGTGGACATACTTTGACTTCTTCACTACCCAGTGAGAGGGGCCAGCTGCCACCAGCTGCATTCGCACCCTTACATCCTGCTCTGCTGCAGTATGCAGACGGCACAAGAGTCTTGGGGGCTCGCGTATTGTGTGCTTCTCCCCACTGATCCAACAGGCCTTCAGTATTTGTGGTGTACAGGACAGGTGCTTTATTTGTGTTCAAAGCAGCACATTTGACACACGCGCACACGCTGCAATTCGTGCCTACCCTGCTGTTCCATCTGCTGCATCGAATGCCACCCGTGGGCCCCCCGCCGCAGGTGGTGCTCCGTGACAACGTCCTGCAACCTCTTAGGCCTTGATACCTGTGAGCGGAGATCAACTGTGCTTGCCTGGGCCGGCTTCTGTCTACTGTGCATGCGCACAACGCACAGCTCTGGACAGCAGGGCTCGCCCTGATGCAGCTCACCTGACACAACCCCTTGCAAGCACGCACAGTGACCGAGTCGTTCGCCGACCGCCTGCGCTGTGCTGCACCACCTGACAGTATCACTTCCTTGACCACCCACGCACGCCTGCCTGTGTTACGGGATCTTGAATGGGTCATGGGCTCTTGAATGTAATGCTTCTCGCCAGCCAGCCTTGCACACCATGCATGAACATCAATACATTGCTGGCTGGCACGAGGCCAGGTAGGTCGGTCACATGCCCACCCACAAACGGTCACTCACCCCGGCCCCCCTCAGACCGCGCCCAGCTTAACAACACAAACCTGCTGCCAGCCTGGAACCTGGAGCTGGACCTCACAGCCACCATCAGCCAGGCCTGCAACGGGAAAGACTCGTGAGGCCCACCTCTTTGCCACCCGATTGACTGCTCACAAATACCTTGCCCGTGTCCACACAGCTTCTGTGGCTCTAGTTGCGCAGCTGGGGCACGCGCCCACTTTGCCAGCTGTCATTATCATTCAATGTGACGTGGAGCTTCCGCGCGGTTGCTTGACTCTGGAGCATGAAAGGGCCCCAGTTGGAGGGCGCCATGTGCCCTGAGTTGACTTGTGTGAGAGCCCCTCAGTTTGCTCCACGCTTGCCGCTCACTGCCGTGCCGCCATCCCGGCCTTCCCGCCTTGGCCGCAGGTACATGGGAATTCGCAGCATCTTCAAGGTGGGCGAGCTGTTTGGGCACTGGGCTTCAGGATCGTTTCTGGCTGAAACATGGGGAGGGCTTTCAGAGAGCCGCCTGATGAGCCGCACGCGAGCAGCAGACAGCATGCCGATCACGTGATCAGTCGCCCTGTGTCACAATCGCCACTTGCCCTCTGCAGCCTCCGGTGCCTGTTGCTGCCTGCGTGGCCCTGTTGTTTGCATTCCACCTGGATTTTAGTTGTGCTGAGCGCCCATTGGTTCCTTGCGATGCCGCGCAGAATGCAGTGCTCGACTACCCCCGCAACGAGTGCCCCGCCGCCATCACCGGCTGAGCGGCGACGATTCTGCCGGCCAGACCAGCTCAGCACCAATGAACAAAAAATGATTTATAAATGATGAGCAGGGCTTCAAGTATGTGTGCAGGTTTGTGACGGCATGAAGTGGTATGGTGCTGCCACGCGCCGCAGCCAGCTTCCAACAACCCATCACCGCGGCGACTTTGAGCAGGCGTGCGCTGCTGAGTTGTGTGATTCTGTCTATGGACATATGCTGAGCCCAGCAAGCGTGACCGTGACGTGCTAAAAGGGAAAGCTGATTACAGTATGCTGTTATTCATGCTGTTGTTGAAATCCTCATGCACGTATTGCTGCCTCCAAAAAAATTGTTGGTCCCATACGAACTGACACGTCTCCTTACCTCTGCCGACCAACAGTGGATGACCACTGATGTGACAGTAATTTGAATGCTTGTAACGCTGTGGAAACAATTAAGTCTCGTTGCAGAGATTAGGCTGGCAGCACATTGAGTCAAAATCGGGTGTGGTTGATGAATGCATGAGCTGGTCGGCTGGAGGGACAGCACCACCCCAGCAGGTCCCTGGGCCGTGCATGGGCCCCATATTTGCCTGGAAAGTCCTATCTGCAGCTGGGTGTCCTGGAGTGGTTGCCTCTTCGCGGCAAGGAGCGACATGGTTTGCATGCACGAGGTGGCTGGCAGCAACCTGTCATCAACTGCGGGAAAAGCAGGCGCATGCTCACAGTATTTTTTCAACTGTTGCAAACGCACGCCACGCCTGCAGCAGCACCAATGGCTTATACTGCTCTCACGAAGCGTTGTCACGCACTGAAGGTCGCAAATCCTATGTGTGCGTGTGCGTGTTCCGCAGTGACTCAGCAGCAGAGGGCCGCTGTCAGTGCTGACATTGCTGCCGTGTCACAGCCTGGATCATCTTCTTCTTGTTCGGACTTGGAGTGTGCTGACAGGCCCCGTGCTTGCAAGTTTGATGCTGGAACTGCGGATCTGACGATCAGGTGATCTGCTTCGCGGGAATACCCAAATCATACGTTCAGCATGCCTCCGAGGGGAAAGAAGAGCAATTCGCGACCTATTGATCGAGTAGCTGGCACGGCGGCAAAGAGGGCCAAGGGACAGCCAGCAACTGCAGGCTCGGCGGCGGCGGATCTGGCCGCGACAGCGACGGCCTGCGCTCGTGCGGTCAAGCGCTTCAACCTGCTGGCCGTGCCGCAACGCGATCAAGTGAGGTGTCTGAGCCAATGTGGCGTTCAGTGCATGCTCAAACAACCGCCGTGTAGTCAAAGCAAGCCCGCAACGGCATCAGCCACAGCGCCTGCTCACTGCACCTGCACAAGTCCGTCGCAGGACGAGGCGGCTTGGGAGAGCTATATCAAGGTGCGGCAGCCAGCATCCCACCCCGTTTCATGCATGCTCCTCATGCATACATACATGCGTGCATGCATGACCTGATCGCCCCTGCGGGGCCCACAGCCCCGTTGCTCCAGCGCGACTGCGGCTCGCCGCAACAGGGACCTGTCGCCATGCCCCCCCCCCTCCTGGCGGCCCTGCACACCACGCGCCTGCGTTCGCAGGCGCGCGAGCAGGCAATCAAGGACGCAGGGTGCGACGGCGAGTACCACGAGGGTGCGGACTACGATGGGCAGTTCATCTCGCGCCCGATGGTGCATAGCGCTGTCCGGACGACGCTGGAGGGGTTCAAACAGCTGAGCGCCACGGTGAGCGCCACCCGCGCTGCGCTGTGGTGCAGGGCGGTTGAGGCAGTGTCCCTCACCTGCCTAGTGGAATAAGGGCTGCAATGAATGACAGATTTGTTGTGCGAGGGAGCCTTGAGCGGGCCTTGTAAGTGGATCCGCAACGGCGACCCCTCAAAGCGCTGCGCTCCGATTGGCGTGCGGGGCGCTTAAGCAAGGCGTGCTGCCGCAGCAGGGCCGCGGTCCACCTCCTCCTAGCAGCCCGCACTTTGCCAAGGCCTATGTGTTTTGCAAACACCACGGCGCCCGCTGTTTGCTGGCCGCCGCTCGACAGGACCGCCGGCTGCTGCTGCGGTCCACTACGATCGTCACGGCCGAGGTCGATTGGGCTGATAGCGACGACGTGCGCGGGCTGGACGTGCAGGCGCGCGTGTTTGCGGTGGACGGCCCCAACGTGGTCGACATCCGCCACGACTACCACCACCGCGACAGGCGCGTCACATGGTGTCGGCTTGGACGGCAGCCACAGCGCGTGGGGGGCGCTGCAGTGCACCATGCTGGGAGTCTCCGCATGTCACATGCCGGCATGCGGTGCCCGCTGTGCCGATTGAGCATGCGGCGATGTCAACCTCTGCCAGAGTTCCCACACCAGCACGCTGCAGGCTCGCACCAGCAAGCCTCGCCGCCCCTTTCCCCCCTCATGCCAACCCCAAGCAGGGGTTACGGCCATGAGCACATTGCAGAGATCAAGTTTTCTGTGGGCCGCCCAGCCGGGCCGCATCCGGCCGACAAGAGCCGGGAGTGGGTCAGGGCGTGGCGCGTCACCATGGCCGACACGAGGTGAGCAAGCGCGAGCTGGATTCGCCCACATCGCCGCTTGCTTGGCCGCCAACTCTAGAACAATCTACAGCCCGCAAACCACGGCGCATCACTTGCGCAGCGATGCTTGCTGCCAGCTTATTAATAGTTTTGCCCGCGTTGTTCCCGCTCTCCAGGCACTACCGCGAGGTGCGGACGTTCGGCCTGAGGGCGTCCCACATCCAGCAGATGAGGGGCGCCCTGTTCACGGGTGAGAACTTTGAGGACAGCCGGTCCGGGGTCGTACCACCAGCTTCAGCCCTGCCTGGACTCAAAAGCCCTCAGTCATCAGGGCCGAACGCCCTCCTCACGCTCCCAAGCGCAAAATTCCCTTGCTGTCCTCAGCATGCACCTTTTGGCCATTCTGGAATCCGCCCAACCCCGCTCGCCCCCCCAAATCGCACATGAACATGCATGCACGACGTCACCAGGGCCGGCGGGTGAGAAGATCAGCAAGAAGCTCTCCGACCACGAGCTTATGACCTGGCTGCTGGCGGCCGCGGGGTACTCATCAGGCTACGGCCCCTACGGCTTTGAGGTTCGCCACGCCTGCGACGGCTGGGACGGCGTCAACCTGCGGCGCGTGTGCGGCGCGGCGACGGCGGAGGACGCGGACTGGGAGGAGGACGCGTTTGAGGCCAGCGACCACAGTGACGAGTTTGGGGACAGGGACGAGTACGAAGACGAGGACGAGGACGGCTCTGAGGGCGGGGGCCGCTCAGAGGACCCTTACGGGCACCCCTGGTACTTGTGATGAAGGGCCAGGGAGCCGCAGCAGAGTGTGTGTCGACACCAGCTGCGCGGCCATGTGCAGCTGCAATTCTGCTTCCTGCCGCCATGCCATTGCTGCTCAGGCCGCGGCGGCCGGGGCCAGCTTCGTGCCTTTGCTTCGTGCCTGTGTATGGTTGCCTTTACCTGCCAGGCTCTGTGCTACACAATATGCAGCCCTGCGAGGGTCGGTGCTTCGGGCATTATGATGAGGTTTCATTGGCTTGCTGCTGAGGACCAGTGCAAATACGAAATACCCAATCATGCAACCTGATTCCTGGTTGCCAAGCTCCAGGCTGTATACCAGGTCCTAACCGGCTTCACTCCTGTAAGTAACGTCTTGCAAAAACTCATCGCGCAGTCCTCTGTCACATCACGGGTGTTTTGGGGTCGACTGGATGCCCCAGGCACCTCCAGAGATTGAGCTCACGCCATGATGGCTGGTGGTTGGCGGTGCTTCATAGACTTTCAGCTCCCCTTGATGCGTTTTGAAGGAATAGACTCTCGTTGCAGAGAGTAAGCTCGCCCTGAAGGATGCAAGTCTGCTGGTAATGACTCAGCAGCCAGGGGTCACTGCCTGTGACGACACTGCTGCTGTGTCGCAGCTTGGATCATCATACTTTTGGTGGAAATTCTAGTGAGCTGACAGACCCCATGCTTGCACCTTTGATGGCTGAAAGTGCGGATCTGACGATCCAGTGATCTGTTTCGCGGGAACGCGTGTGACATGCCTCCGAGGGCGAGTAAGAGCAAGTCGCAACCTGTTGATGGAGTAGCTGACAAGGCGGCAAAGAGGGCCAAGAGGCAGCCAGCAACTGCAGACTCTGCGGCGGCGGATCCGGTCGGGACGGCCTGCGCTCGTGCGGTCAAGCGCTTCAACCTGCTGGCCGTGCCGCATCGCGATCAGGTGAGGTGTCACAGCCAATGTGGCCGTCAGTGCAGGCTCATACAACCACCATGTAGTCAAAGAAAGCCCGCAATGGCGTCAGTCACAGCGCCTTCTCACTGCACCTGCACACGTCCATTGCAGGACGAGGCGGCATGGGAGAGCTACATCAAGGTGCGGCAGCCAGCAGCCCGTCTCATGCATGCACCTCATGCATGCATGCATGCATAATATGCATGACCTGACCGCCCCTGCAACACCCCCCCCCCCCC